GCCCGGAACTCAGCTCCTCCACACCCAGCACGAAACAGTCCGAAGACAGCTCCAGCAGAGAAAACAAGCGCAAGACCGAAGCCAAGTGCCCACAAATCCTTGGCCACCAGGGATGCCGAAAGGGAACCTGCATGTGAAGCCGCACCTGGCCAACATCATAAGGAAGGACGGGAGCGAATTAGCACACCTTGCGGTGCTCCCAGGAAAACCTGAACGACCGTAAGCAAATCTCGCCATTCAAGTGCGCATTCCGACAGGACAAAAGCCAAGCCTCCCCAAAGAAGAAAAGGCAGTCTGCCAGCCAGGAAGACTCCGGCACTTTGTAACGCACCCAATAAAGAAAAGAGGAGCCAAACTCAAAAAGAAGGCATCATTATCGAGGCGTAATCCGGGTGTCACAGGAAGTAAGCCGCAAGGGGCCTCCCACACCTTCCTCTGTAGGATGCGGGTAGCCAAAAAAAAACTCCAGAAGGAGAGAACCGAAGAACCCAAGGGAACTCGGACCCGAACCCGGGGAGGAGTCGAACTCGTAGCAAAATCGTACAGAGGGGAAAAGGAAAAAAACCCTACCCCTGTAACAACAAGCCCTGCAAGGAGGGTACCAAACACCCAAGCAGGGACAAGTGGGGCTCAGGCCCCCCAAGTCAACTCCTCCCCAGCCCCGGAATCATCCACGTCAGGACCCAGGGCCAAGCAGTCCTCCAAAACCTTTGCCTTTGGAGAAAAAGCAGAGTCCACCGGAAAAGCAGGGATGAAGGAGGCCTGCTTGCGTGGCCCAAAAGCTCCGGCAGGAGGACCAGGCTCGAATGCCTCCACCGCTGATCCAGAAGGGGCAATCCCCAAAGCCACCCGAGTCTCACTACAGTATAATTCAGCGGGGCATCCAGAAAGGCAGCCAACTTCGCACCTTGCTGCAACTTAAACCTTGCATGCAATGCTAAAGCTGCCTGCACCCAAATCTCAGTCTCAGTGAACTGGGTGAATGGAGTACAAGCAAAGAACACCACTTGCAGGACTCCGGGTCATAGGTGTCACTGACCCTAACAGGCAGCAAGGCGGAGGCAGAAGGTGAGTGTCACCCCAAAACAGGGGGGACAGAGCAACCTTCAAACTCGCACAAGGCGAGGAGGGACTCAGAGGTCTCCTACATTGGACCAATGAGCCCCAATGGGGGGTTTCCAGGGCCCTTAGGCTGACTGCTAAAGGAAGCCCAGGCGAGGTACTGCTAACCGGTTATCCCAGAGCTACCAAGCAAACAATCTAAAAGCTGAACCCCCTGTGATGTGTGCAAGCACAGGGACATAGTGGAGGGCCACCAAAAGCCTACCTGTGGTCCTACCGCCACACCTGGCAGACCCCCGCCAGGCAACACAAAACAAAAACAAAAGAAAACCCCCACAAAAGCACAACGTCTTCAGGAGAACAGAACTAGTCACTATGCGTATATCAGATAGCTGCACAGTACCTCGCCCCCCCAGCCAGCGACAAAACTACCTCCTAACACAAGAGAAACAGGAGTAAGAACCACCCCAGCTGAACTCCCAAGGGCGGGCAATCACCGAGCAGCGACAGAACCACACGGAGGTAGTAGCTCCTGAACGGCTCATGGAAGATAACCCTGAGGCCGCAAAGGCAGTACTTACAGGGCACCTAGGGAAGGCGGCCCTAGGTGCATGCAGTCCCAGTACTCTTGTATTACGTCTGGCTCACACACCACCAAAACCGAGCAACAACACCGCACTGCAGCACTGCGCAGAGTAGAGTTAGAGCGATCGACCGTCACCAACACAACAGCCTCTTGAACTGAGGAGAGTTGCCGGCGAGGTTTGGGAACCCCCATCCCCCTCCCGGGGAGTGGGGGGGGGGGTTGCGCAGACGGATGCACGGCATTTGTGGTGATGTCATACTTGTTAACTTGGTTTTGATTGGGAAGATCTGTTGCTAGTTCGGCTTTTGGTTTGCAATTTATTTGATCAGCAGTAGTTTGTTTTGGAATTCCTACCTTTATGGGTGCCTGACCTGGTAGATGCCAAACAAAGACTGCTTCCAATTACACGGGGGTGTCTTTAGGCCATTGCTCCTCATGCCTCTCTTGAGGGGGCCAGGTTCTGGCTCTGGTCCCTGGTAGGCTTAGAACTACTTTGATTGACTGTTGCCACGGTCTAATATATACACATCAGCCCGGTATAGCTCCAGTGAGCCGAAGGTGCTCCCCGGAGCTATAAAGAAAATTATATAAGTAATTATATAACTATAAATAAAAAGTAATTAAATAAGTTACTCCACAGAAAAGTAAACAAAAAATGCTGCTTTGCCCGTGCGGTGTGAAAGTTGTACAAGTAAACAATAAGCAGATGAACAATACAATTTACTTTAATCTTAACCCTTGTATGGCGCCTGGCTATTTAGCATGTGTCACAGGCGCATACCAAAAAAAAAAAAAAAAAATATTATTTTTTCTTCTAAACCTGTTAATTTGTGATCACTGATCATGGGAAAAATAATAAAAAAAACGTAAGTGGCATATATTGCCCACTATACGGCAGAAAAGTCTGGCAAAAAACAGGCGCTGACTAAGTGTGCGTCCCAGACGGTCTGTTGCTCGCCAGGTGTCAGGCCGGAGTTGCCACAAAGAGATTATTACCTAATTATTTCAATGTCTTTGATTTTTCGTAGTTTTTTTGCTGTAATATTATTCAATAGTGTGTAGTGTGATATATTTATATAATAAAATGAGTGAATCATCGCTGTACTCAAAAATATGGTGTACATATTGTTGATTCAATTATGTTCATCAAACAGTGAACAAATACTTTGTCAGTTATTACACTATATACACAGGTTATATACAAGTATCTGCATGTTTTGTTCACCATAACGAACCATTAAGTTGCTATTATGAGTCAAAAAGTAACGAGGAGTGATCGCCACATACCAGCCAGCAACTCACTCCCTTAACACCTCACTCGCCCACATTTTCCTCCCACCATACTGTTTTTACTTTAAGTATATACATATGTTATATATAAGTATATACATATGTTATATATAAGTATCTACATTCGTGTTCACCATAACGAACCACTACGTTGGTATGCTGAGTGTCAGTGCCAGTGGCAGCCTGCCACTGGCTGCTACTTCCTCCCTCCCTCAAGTCACCTGACTCACCCACATTCTCCTCCCACAATACTGTTTTTGCTTTTATTCACTATATACAGACGCTATTTATAAGTATCTACATTCGTGTTCACCATAACGAACCACTAAGTTGGTATGCTGAGTGGCAGTGGCAATGGCAGGCAGTGGCAGCCTGCCACTGCCACTAAGTTGGTATGCTGAGTGGCAGTGGCAATGGCAGGCAGTGGCAGCCCGCCACTGGCTGCCACTCCCTCCCTCACCTCACCTGACTTGCCACCATTCTCCTCCCACCATACTGTTTTTGCTTTTATATTGTGATGAGAAATGTAGGTGTTAAGGCAGTCTTCTTTATGGCTGGTGTAAATGCCAATCACATTAAAAAAAAAGAGAAACAAAAATGTTGACTGCTTGGCTGTTGTCTCCTGTGGTAAAGTGAATAGGAAAAACACGCAAAACAAATTTTATAAATAATGAACTTTAATTTACTTTAAACAAATATAAACAAAATAAAGATAATCCCTTGGCTATGTACAGTGTGGATCAAAAATATATACAAAGACAAAACACAATATAAAATAAAATAATGATTACGTTACTCTACAATAAGCAAGACAAAAATTAGTTAAAGGTGCTGAGAATAGTGGGCTGGCTGAAACCTCTACTAATATACAGGACGTATGCTTAGATAAAAGTGTCAGCTCGAGAGCACAAGAATATTCTGAGGCCAATTGCTCGTGCAAGACTATATATAGACGATGTAGATGGCGCTGGAGTCGCGTGAAGTCGCTGATTCACTAATGGGGAAAGTGTTGGTTTGAAGTGGTCGTTTGGTGATCGACGAGGTGGTGCGCCGACAGTGAGGGAGGGGGGTGAGGAGAGTGAGAGTAGGGTAGTGTACCCCCTGTAGAGACGTCTGTTATTCCACTTATATACTATTCTTGAATGTGGTATCATGATGTTGCACAAGTATATAAGTAACGCGATGTAGGAAGGAGCAGGCTAAATCTCTCTTGAAAGAGATTACTGTCACAATATACAGACGTTATATATAAGTATTTACATGTTTTGTTCACCATAACTGTACATCTAAGCTTGTATAGTGAGTAAAGGCACAAAGACATAGCTACTCACACAGTCAGCTGGTGGCGGCCGCCCTTAAGGCCAGACGCACTAATATTTCTCCTCCAAAATACTGTTTGTGGTGTTATTACGCTTTATACACACATTATATATAAGTATCTACCTGTTTTATTCACCATACTTGTACAAGTAAACTGGTATGGTGCCCAAAGACCATAGTGGTCACTAATAAACAACATGGTAAGTCGTGCAGACGACCCCACCTCCCTCACCAAAATGGCAGCTCCCAACCAACTCTTATTGCTGTTTATACCCTCTATACACGCGTTATATATGAGTATCTACATTTGTGTTCACCATAGCGAACCACTAAGCTGGTATGGTGAGTGCAGTCAATAAATATATCATAGTATAGTATATATCATAATAATATTACTGTGGAGAAACTGTGGCATAATATTATGGTACAAAATATGTACTGTAATATTATGTTTGTATATGATATAAAAGTTGTAAACATTTTAATGAAAGGTCATATATTACAGCTTTCATGTGTCAACACCTGTTACAAATTTATTGTATTTTTCCCCACCTAATGTCCTATAAATGTCCAGCTCTGCAAATTTATTATCATATTAATACTTCATAAAGTGCAATAATAATAATAATAATAATAATAATAATAATAATGATGGTGATAGTAATGGAAATAATAAAATTTAAAATGTGTGAATTTCAGTATGTTATGAGACAAATTTTACATAAAAATATTATGTTTTCAGGTATGGAAGAACCTTTAGAGAAAAATTTTATAAGGTGCAAGAAGACCTCATTGAACAGTGCTGAAAATGGTTCGGAAGTTTTAAATGAATTTAAAGAAAATTACCAGTCATTTTTAACTTGGACATCAGAAGTTTTAAATTTTACAGAAAAATCAGATGATTCTGTAATATCTTCACCATATTCTTCATTTTCCAATTCTACATGTAATCTCAATGTTAGAGATGAAAAAGTTTCTATCCATCCTCAAGAGACTGTCTCACAAGAAAGCGTAAGATATGATACACCACCAATGGTACCAGTTTCATGCACTTCAGGAGATCAAAAAGGAAAAACGTCCTATTGTAATATTAAAAAAAGCATGACAAATTGTATTGATAAATCAGGAGCATGGACAACACCCTCATTGTATTCTTCAGTTGCTAATACTGGGAATTATCACATTGAAAAAGATAAAAACGATTTGGACCTCTCCCAAGAGTCTGGATTACATGAAAACTCAAGATGTAATGGGCCAGTAATGGCATCAGTTGCCAGCACTTCAGGAGAAAACAAACACAAAAAAACATCAAATGTTGCTTATGAACAAACAACACCATGGAAAATACTTGTCTCTACTAAGTCTCAGAAAAAGATAAATTTAAATAAATCAAACAGAAATTTGGTTGATAATTCAAGTATTAAAGATATATCTCTCAAAAATTTGGCTACTTTGTATATATATGCTGAAGATACATCCAGTGCAAGTGATGAAAGATCTAGGAAACACGTAACCTCTTTACATATTACTAGTAAGAAAAAGAACACTGACATGAGATTGATGAAAAATCATTGTAAAATTATTGACAGCTTAGGACCACGGTCTAGTCTTCCTTCATCCCAACTTAAGACTAATAATAATAATGTGGAAAATTGTAAGGAAAAGGTAACAGATGTTGCAACTTTACAATACGATAGTACTGCAACAGGTGTGGCAGCTGCACACAGCAAGAGTATTGCAGCAGGTGTAACAATGTCGCAATGCATGAGTAATGAAGGGGTAGCAACTGCACACTACATGAGTAAATTAGCAGGTGTAGCAACTTCACACTACAAGAGTAAAGTAGCAGGTGTAGCAACTGCACACTACAAGAGTAAGGTAGCAGGTGCAGCAACTGCACACTACAAGAGTAAATTAGCAGGTGTAGCAACTTCACACTACGAGAGTAAAGTAGCAGGTGTAGCAACTGCACAATTTAAGAGTTTTACAAATTCAGAAAAACAAGCACATTTAATGAAATTTGAACAGCGTCAATCACTGGAAAGTTTAAGAGAAGAGTATAAAGACTTTTCTTCACAACCTAAAGTGATGCCTCCAAAAAATGCTAATTACATTCCTGATTATAACTTATTTCCATGTGAATCAAAAGTTGGATTAATAACAAATAATAATGGAAAAGTTCCTGTATGTGGAAACTCTGAAAATATTAGAAACAAATTAAGTGACAAAATTTCTTCCTTACTAATAAATACTACAAATGTCACAGTGACAAAGAAACATACTGGCATTTTAACACCAATGAACACAGTGGATTCCAAAAATATAATGGTACATAATAGTACAAGGTTTTCCCCAACTGTCACAGATTCATCACATATGCACAGTCATAGTGCCAGCACCATGCATGTCAGCATGTCACACTCACCTTATGTGCAGAATAACATGAGTTCACCTAATGTGCAGAATAACATGAGTTCATCTCTGCCTATGAAAGTAGCAAATTCAGATGACATACATAAAATTTCTGAAATTTCCCCGACATTTGCTGTAAGATATAGAAAAGACACTACTGCTGGCACTAAATATGTAAACATATCACACTCACCTAATGAACAGGTGAACACAGCTCCATCTATGCCTACAATGGCAGAAGAATCATTAAATATTCATAGAAATGCTGGAATTACTCCAAATGTAATTTTTCCAGATTCAGCAAACTCTGAAAATATTAGAAGCAAATTAAATGATAACATTTCTTCCTTACTAATAAATACTACAAATGTCACAGTGACAAAGAAACATACTGGCATTTTAGTACCAATAAACAGAGTGGATTCCAAAAATAAAACGGTTCATAATGGTACAAGGCTTTCCCCAACTGTCACAGATTCATCACCCATGCACAGTCATAGAGCCAGCACCATGCATGTCAGCATGTCACACTCACCTTATGTGCAGAATAACATGAGTTCACCTAATGTGCAGAATAACATAAGTTCATCTCTGCCTGTGAAAGTAGAGAACTCAGATGACATACATAAAATTTCTGAAACATCCCAGACATTTGCCAAAACATATAGAAGAGACAATTTTGCCAGCACTAAATATGTAAACATATCACACTCACCTAATGAACAGGTGAATACAGTTTCATCTATGCCTGCAATGGCAGAAGAATCCTTAAATATTCATAGAAATACTGGAATTACCCCAAATGTAATTTTTCCAGATTCTGCAAACAGAAAAAATGATGCTTCCAGTTGTGTGTGTGTGAAAATGTCACATTCAGATAATGTGCAAAGTGCAGCTTCATTTTTGCCAGTAATGGCAACAGATTCAGAAAATATACATAAATGTACGGAAATTTCTTCAACTGACACTGTACCAGACTTAACAGACAAGCAAACCAATATTGCTGGCACTATGCCTGTGACCATGTCACACTTACCTAGTCAACAGAGAAAAGTTCCAGTACTTTTGCTTTTTCCTGTGATGCCACCAGAATCAAAATATACAGTTAAAAGTAATGAAATATCCCCATCTGTTAGTGTATCAGTTTCAGCAGATAGACAAAGTAATACTGAAAGCTCTTCGTTTTTTAATATATCACTCATACCTAATCTGCAGAATGATCTACCAATACTTGTGTTTAATCCTATGATGACAACAGATCCAAATTGTGTAAATATAAGTAATGAAATTTCTCCAGCTGTCAGTGTACCAGATTCAACAGATAGACAAAATAGTATTGCTGGCACTCTGTGTGAGAATATGTCACACATACCAAATATTCAGAAAAACGTAGTTTCATTTGACCCTGAGATAACTGCAGATTCACAAAATATACATTCAAATACTGAAATATTCCCAGCTGCCAGTGTACCAGATTCAACAGAGAAGCAAAACAATATTACTGACAATGTGTGTGTGAACATGTCACACATACCACATGTGCAGAACATTATTTCTTCTTTGCCTATAATGGCAGAAGACTCAGAATATGTACATAAAAGTACCGGAACTTCCCCAACTGTCACAGTACCAAATTTAACAGATACACAAGAAAATATTGGTGGTACTGTATATGTGAATGTGGCACACTCACCTCAAATGCAAATGAATTTAATTTCATCTCTACCTGTGATGGCAGAAGAATCAGTAAATATACATAAAAGTGCTGGAATTTCTCCAAATGTCATTATTACAAATTCAGCAGACAAGCAAAACAATATTACAAGCTCTAAGTGCATGAAAGTGTCACATTCAGGTAATGTGCAGAGTATAGTTTCATCTCTACCTGTGATGACAACAAATTCAAAGAATACATATGTAGTGCATAATAATTTTCCATCTTCATGTGATGTAAAGGAAAATATTTGCACTGCTGCATCTGTAGGTGAGAAAGATTCAACTGACACTCAGGAAAATTCTTGTAGTGCCATACTTGCAGAAGAGACCAGCAAAAAGAAGTCATACTTGACAAATATAGAAGATGCAGAAGACATACTGAAGAATCCATGTATATTTCCTTGTGCAGCTGAAGGCCATGATTCTCAAAGATATGAAACAAATTCAATGATTACTCCTAAAACAGTATTAAATTCAAGGATCACATATGACAGTATTGGTATTAATGTAATTGATTCAAGTAATCTGGATAAAAATACAGGATTTATTTCATATGAAAGTCAAATAGAAACAATGAATAATGAGACAAGTGCTTGTTCATTCACATCAGATTTTGAGGGATTGAATGGCAGTGAATCTTCATCAGTAATTTTGGAAATAACTGAAAATTGCTTCAAAAATAAGTCTATACATCAAGATCATACATATGCAAAAAATATAAAGGAAAATACCAGTATATCTGCACAACCTGCAAGTCATGTTTATCCTAATAGCATACTGGGGAATTATCTTATGAATAAAGACCATACTTATGGGAAAATAGATGCATATGAATTTTTACCCATCAATCCTACACCTACATATTCAGAGAGCAATTCAAGGTAAGTTGATTCCTTAAGTTTGTGCATGAATTTCTTTTTGAGTTCATATTAATATACAGAAATGCACAAGTTGCATGCACACACACTTCAGTGTTATTAGTAGTGAAAATCCTTACTGTACGTAGATGTATCAAACCTACCGATACTATAAAAAATAATTGAAACAAATGTTTACAAACAGCTCTACTCCTACCTTGTAACATTCAAATTAAGTCTTTGCCAATTTGGCTTTCATTTGCAAAAAAAAGAGAGTACCAGTGATGCCATTATTAGATTTCTTGATATAATCTATACAGCTCTTAACAAAAATGAGTTCCCACTTGGCCTTTTCATTGACTGGAAAAATGCCTTTGATACTGTAAATTCTAACTAACTCATACTTAAATTTCATTATGGAACCCGAGGCCTTGCTTTGAACTATAGTATATTAGATCATGTCTTAAGTCTTAATAACAGACACCAATATATAGCCATTAATGACAAAACCTCTCCCACTCTACCATTAACCATAAGAGTGCCACAGGGACTGCTCCTTAGGTTCATGTACAAATGTCCAGTTGCCGTAGTAGCAGGAGTACGAGCATCTGGCTATTGCTGTTGCTTGTATTATCCCAAAAAACCTTAGGACGTCTCCTATTTCTTATGTACATCAATGATTTGCCAAATGTGTCTAACATGCTTAAACCTAAACTATTTGCTGACGATACTGCCTTCATCTGCTCAGACCCCAACCCACACACACTTAATAATATTGTAAATAACAATTTAAAAGAGTCCACTTGTGGATATTGTCATCCAACAAACTCACACTAAACATACAGAAGACTTAATACATTTTATTTGGAAGTAAATCATCAAACCAGGTTCACCTTCAGATAGACAATGTCAACATTAGCATTAAAACTTATGGAAAGTTCCTTTGCCTATATGTAGACAAGAGACTAAACTTTAGCACCCAACTATTGCATATAGCAAATAAAAATATCAAAAACCTCTTGATATACAGTACTCTCTAAAATTAAACATTATGTTCCACATTGCTCTCCTTTCACTATACTTTTTGCTAATCTATCCCTATCTAACATATGGTATCTATGCATAGGTTACGGCCACTGTAAATTACCTCAAACCCATCAACACCCAGCAAAAATTTGCTATCAGTATTTTTTAATCATTCTGCCGTTTCTTCAGTGGCATCCTTTGCAGTTTTCCCTTCCTCTGCTACTACCTTAATGCTTTTCTTAAGCTTGTTGAGTCTCGCTTCCCTGCAATGGTCTGTTTTCTTCAGTCTGTTAGCACTCCCAGGCACACCAAGGTGAGGGTTGATCAACTGCATCAGTCAATATGTTGCCTTGTTTTCTTCATTATTCGTATCAATTAGTAGCTTGTTTAGTTTTGCCTAATCATTTTGATTTGTTTTCTCAGCCTTTGGGTAGATCTTGAGACACTTATTTCCCATACTTCGTGATGAGAGCCAGCTTGTAAGCCTACCAGGAAAGGGGATTTCATCACATTCAGCACTTGATTTTCAGGTTTATTTTAAATTCTCTAGTTCCTAATTTCACTTTGAGGTTTTATATTTTATCGTATATATATGACAGCAATGACCTCACTGCACTTGCATCAGTGTCAGAGAAACGATTACTCATTCATTGAGTAGTTAGTAAAGAGGGAGTAATGGTTGTGTTGGTATTGCATGGTAATTAAAAAACTATTGCCATTTTCACATACGGATGGAACAAGTGAAGCGAGAAGTTGGTGGATGCCAATATCATCAGTAGTTTTACAGCATCATATGGCAGAGTTGTACTGGGATGATGGGACACTACAAACGTAGGTCTCTTTTGTAACTACACATAGGTAATTACAAGGATTATCATCATTGCTCAACTTTGAACATTTTTTACTGTAAAATATTTAAGATTATTATTACTCTACTCTTCATAATGTTAGAATAAGTTGCATTTCTAATCTTGTAATCAAACCAAACCACACTCCTAAGGATGCCACTCTCAATTAGTGACACATTTATTTTTCACTTGGCCGCCAATAGAAGCCTTGATAGACACAATGCCTTTATTATTTGCCAATATATTGGTGTGATGTTTGAATTTTTACATTAAATCCAGATATATGAGAGAAAGAAGATGCTTGAAAGCCAGTAGAACATGTTCTGATTGGATGGCTTATTGGGAAAATGAGGCCTCTCACATTGAGGATGAGGGTGGTTGCTAGACAACCTATCAAGGAAAACATACTAACCAGATAGCATTATCAGGATATACCATAAGAAGAGAAAGTAGTCAGTCCAAGAAATCAGTGTCCAAATACTATGTTTTAACTGTACAATACAGTACTGTAATTACCTAAGTGTAATTACCAAAGTGTAGTTACAGGATGAGAGCTACACTCATGGTGTCCCGTCTTCCAAGCACTTTATCATATAACGCTTTGAAATTACTGACGGTTTTGGCCATCACCACCCTCTCCCCTAACTTGTTCCAACCATCTTCAACTCTCTTTGCGAAAGTGAATTTTCTTATATTTCTCCGGCAGCTTTGTTTAGCTAGTTTAAGTCTATGATCTCTTGTTCTTGAAGTTCCAGGTCTCAGAAATTATTCCCTATCAATTTTATCGATTCCTGTTACTATTATGTACGTAGGGTACATATGCCTATTTGTACATTGTACAAATAGGCATATGTACATTGGTATGTACATATGTATGTACATTGCCTATTTTTCTTCTATCTTCTAGTTTTGGTATATTTAATTTCTCTAACCTCTCCTCAGAACTCTTGTCCTTCAGTTCTGAGAGCCACTTAGTGGCATGTCTGCACCTTTTCCAGTTTGCTGATGTTCTTCTTAAGATATGGGCACCATATGACAACTGCATATTGCAGCTTTGGTCTAACAAAAGTCGTGAACAATTTCTTTAGTGCTGTATTTCACCATCCATGTATTTAAAAGCAATCTAGTTAGAAAGTGTAGCATAGGCTACTGGCAAAATGTTCTTTATGTGATCCTCAGGTGATAGTTTTCTATCTTGAACCACCCCTAGATCTTTCATTATCAGAATTCCTTAAAGATTTCTCACATAATTTATAGGTTGTGTGGGGTCTATGTTCTCCTATACCACATTCCATAACGTGGCATTTATTCACATTAAATTCCATTTGCCAAGTGGTGCTCCATACACTTATTTTGTCCAGGTCTTCTTGAAGGGTATGATCTAAGTTTCATCTAAATTTCTTATCTTCCCTTTTGTCTTAGCATCATTAGCAAACATGTTCATATAATTCTGTATTCCATCTGGTAGATCATTTATGTAGACAATGAACATTACCGGTGCAAGAACTGAACCCTGTGGTACTCCACTCGTGACATTTCTCCAGTCTGATACATTGCCTCTGATTATTGCCCGCATTTTTCTGTCGGTTAGAAAATTTTTCATCCATGTTAGAAGCCAACCTGTCACTCCTCCAATATGTTCTAGTTTCCAGGACAACCTCTTATGTGGAACTCTGTTGAAAGCCTTTTCTGGGAGAGCCCCTTCAGCTCTGGAGCTTATCCAGGCTGATATGCTAATGTCTGACTTTGGCATCAGTCATGTGTATGGAGTTGTATAGGCCTACCGGGCACCACGAGCCAGAACCTGGCCCCCTCAGAGAGGCATGGGGAGCAATGGCCTATAGAAACCCCCGTGTGGTTGGAAGCATTCTAAGTCTGCCATCGACCGGGTCAGGCACCCAGAAAGGTAAGAGTCCCAAAACAAACCCCTATTCTGGTGAAAATGGCTACCACAAGCCGAACAAGTACGTAGAACTCCCCTAAAAGAAACGAGCAAATGATCATGACGTCACACATCACCGCGCTGCTGTCTGCGCAGCACTCCCCTCCCCGGGAGGGGGAAGGGGGAGCCCCAGACCTGCCGCGCCAACCATCCACCATCAGTTCTTCTGCTGATGCTAGAGGCTGAGGTCGTGTGCTCCAGCTCCGGTGGTTGTTTCAGCACGGTACCTAGAGTGTAGTGACTGTCTTCTAGGTGATGCGTGAGCCGGGAGTGATTCTCCAGTACTCGATCTGCATGTGCCTAGGATTTCCTTCCCTAGGTGCCCTGTAAGTACTGCCCTTGGGCTTTGGGGCCGCCTTCCACAAGTTCCTTGGGTTCTGCCCCTGCTAGGCCGTTTACTGCTTGGTATTCGGCCGCCTTTTGTGAGCTCGGATGTTCTGTCTCCCTTATTCACCTTAGGGTAAGGGCAGTTTTGCACTGGTGGGGCACAGGGTACTGCACTGCATGTTTTCACCAATCATGGTGGCTGGTTCTGTTCCGCCTGGGTACGCTGTCCTCTTGCATGGTTTTCTTTTCTTTTTGTTTATCTGCCTGGTGGGGGGGGGGGGGTCTGCCTTCGTTCTTACCCCCTGTGTCCCCTGTGTACTGAGTATTTTTTCTTCTTCCAGTGGTCCTCCTGCTAGGTCCCCGTGAGTGTACACATCGGGGGGTTGAGTTCTTAGAAGGTTGTTTGGTAGATTTGGGCGCCAGTTGGCAGTACCCTGCCTGGGATTACCTGAGCGTGAATCCTATTATAGTAAACGCTCAGGACCCTGAAAACCCCTGGGGTGCACGGGTCTGATATGCTTACCTTTCCGTCACGCTGCCTACTGGGTCGGGGATACTTTCGACCCTGAGTCCTGTTGCTTGCTGGTGACTCAGTTTACCCAGTCTACTGATGATGATGTTTAGGTACAGGCGGTGCAAGTGTTGCATGTTAGGTTTCAGTTGTTGCAATTCACTAGGGTGGTTGCTGACCCGGAAGCCCCGAGGCTGCCCCGTTTTGGTTATAGAGAACCCGGACTTGGGGGTGATGGTCGCTTCGACCTTGGTTCAGTCCACACCCCCTCGTCTTTCCCCTGTTGTGGTTTGGTCTGGCATTTAGACCAAATCTTCCCCCCCTTCCCGCCCCCCCCTTCTTCCAGCTCCGAAACGTCTGAGGGTTTTGGGGTCGGGGCAGGGTTTAGATGGTGTTGAGACTCGGGCGGTCTCGGGAATGCCCCTTCACGACCGGCGACAGAGGCTTTCGAGTCTTTCCTCCCTGCTGAAGCATCTAGGTCTGACCAGTGGACCTCCTTTCTTCCCGCTTTCACGGCTGTGCCAACCTCTTCTTTTGAGGTTGGGGATTTGGGAGGCCCCGGGGCCTGCTGTAGTGGCTCCTGGGGCAGGGGAGGGGCTGATATATGGGGGCCTTGGGGCCCCATTGGACCTCGCCTGGGTTTTTCTACCCTCTGAGCGAGACTTGCTGTTACAAGGAGTGGAGTTTTCATTCCTCCCTTCTGCATATGAATTGGATTTGGGGTCTGCCCCTCCCCGGGATTGGTTCGGTGTCCCTTCGGGTACTTCGGTCCCGTCCTTCTGGAGGTTTTCAGCTTCCTGCATCCCTCCTGCTGTGGTGCGGGAAGCCTTCGCGGCTTACCTCCTGCGTGACCCGGATTACGCCTCTATTATGGATCCGTGTACGCTCAGGTTTGGGTCTTCGTTTTCCTACTGGCTGGCAGACTGTCCTGTTTTTGCTTTGGAGGCTTGGCATATGTTCTGTCGTTCCTGCGCGCTTGAACGGGTTCTTGGTGGCCCGTCTGCATCTATTAAGTGTTCAGGTGTTGGCCTACCTCGACGATTGGCTGGTCTGGGCTCCCAGCCAGTCCGCATGTCTGCTCGCCAGGAATTTGGTTCTTTCCCAGCTCTCCGGGTTTGGGTTCTTGGTGAACTGGAGGAAGTCCCATTTGGTTCCCTCCCAGGTTCGGACTTGGCTGGGTCTTGTGTGGGACTCTCGGACTGCTTCCTTGCCTCTTCCTCCGGAATCTCTCCTTCGGCTGCGATCCCGCCTTTACCTGTTTCTGGGGGGCTCCCGGGTCACTCGGCAGTTTCTTGAGGGGGTTTGTGCAGGAGTCTGAACTTTGCCATGATGGTCTACCTGCCAGGTAGGGTTTGGCATCATCAGCTGTCCTGGTTTTTTTGGAGCCATCTCTTTTGCCTCTTTCGCGATCTCTGGGTTCGACTCTCGGGGGGCCTTGCATCGGTTGCTGTGTTGTTGGCTTCCTCTTCGGGTTTTACAGGGTTCAGTGCCTTGGCACCTATCCGAGTCCTCTCTCAATGTGTTCACGGATGCGTCATCTCTGGGCTGGGGCTTTGCGACCAGTGCTCACCAAGCCAGCCAGGGGTGGTGGGGTCCATCCTTCCGTCAAGCACACAGCATGGAGTGGGAGTTCATGGTGGTGTGGTTTGCACTTTGAAGGGTTCGGGTCGCCTGCGGATCGATGATCTGGCTCCATTCGGACTGGTTCCCAGTGGTTCATTGTCTGAACTATGGGGTTTCGATGCGGTTCCTTGGCTCTTTGGGACCGGTCACTTTGGGTGACTTGTTTGCTGAGTTCTCGGGGTTTGGCTTTCCTGGCGGTTCACGTTTGGGGAGTGCCCAACGTTCTAGTGGACAGCTTGTCACAGTTCATTTCACTGTCCAAGGAATGGACGGTAGACGCAGACTCATTCAGTTGGGTCTGCGGGTCGTTCGGGCACCTGGAAAGAATGAGACTGCTTTCCGGAGGAGTCCTTGGATTGTTGATGCTTGGTTAGTCAGGCCGGGGGTGGATCATGTGTTGTGTCCGGTTGCGACTCTCCGCTATTACGCTATTATTTCGCTCCTGTGTCCAGGGATGCGCTTTAGGTTGATCCAGTGTCCCTTCTTCCCTGTTCCAAGTTACAGGTCTCTCTGATCGTCCTCAGGGTTACTTGGTCTAGGCAGCCTGTGGTCTATCCCCGTGCCCACAACGATCGTAAGTTTGCTGCTCTTGCTGCTGCCTTTGGCAACATGTTTTGGGCTGACATTCAGGTACGGGGCTTTTGGTGGTCGAACAGGGGTCCTGGCTGCGCGTTACCTCATGAATGTTCCTGGGCCACATTGGGCTTGTGTTGCTTTGGGTCGGGGGTTGCAGCCAGTTGTCTCAGCTTCGTGTTGAGGTGCGAGCAACGACCGCCTGAAGGGGCTCCCCCCCAGAAAGTCAGCGTTGAATGTAATAAAACGCCATTTTCTAGGTGAGACCAGGAGGCTCCCCGGCACCCCTCTCTTCCTCCGATCGGCGGTTTTTCGTGTATTTTGATATCCAACCTCAGAACTGTGGTGTGGATCGTCAGTACGGGGGGTCTGGGGCTCCCCCTTGCCCCTCTCGGAAAGGGGGGAACTGTGCAGACGGCGGCACGTTGACGTAGTGATGTCATGTTCGTTTGCTCGTTTTTGCTTGGGGAGTTATGTCCATTAGTTCGGCTCTCAGTAGCAATTTCTTAACCAGAATAGGGGTTTGTTTTGGGATGCTTATCTTTCTTGGTGCCTGACCCGGTCGATGGCAGATATGGAATGCTTCCAACCACATGGGGGTTTGTATGGGCCATTGCTCCTTGGGCCTCTCTGAGAGGGCCAGGTTCTGGCTCGTGGTCCCCAGTAGGCGTAAGAACTTCACTCACACTGATGCCAAAAGTCTAATATTAGCATATCATCCTGGATAGCTCTGGGAAGCCTCCGGGTCTCACCCAGAAAATGGCGTTTCATTACATTCAACGCTGGTTTTTTCCAATATTTTGACTATTACACATGTCAGTGATACAGGTCTATAACTGAGGGGGTCTTCCCTGTTGCCACTTTTGTAGATTGGAACTATGTTAGTCTTATTCCACACATCTGCTAGGACTCCCGTACACAGGAATGATCTAAAAATCAGTTGAAGTGGAATGCTGAGCTCAGGTGCACATTCAGAATCCATGGTGGAAACTCCATCTGGGTCAATTGCTTTGTTCTTACTTAGCTCCTTAAGCATTTTTTTCCACTTCTTCTCCGGACATCTCGATGTACTCTATGTTGTTCTCTGGAATTCTTATTGTGTCTGGTTCTCTAAAGATTTAATTTTGTACAAACAAACTTTGGGGCTTTTTGTTTAATATATTATTACATATATATTACATTTAATATATATATAACACTATACTGTATATATTGCTGTATAATATTTATTGTGTTCATGTATATATTGGTGGCACTGTATATACTATATATTATACATATACATATGTATAATATATACATATGAGTACTTAAGAGTTAAATTTTGAAAGACAATACCTGTTATAGTACTGTATTTGTCACTGTTTACCAAATTTGTACCAATAAAAATTGTCATAACTCATTATTTCAGGGATTTCAGCTGCAAGAAACGAAAGATAAGCAGCTCATATACTTGTAAACTGGACTGTTGTACGCAAATAGATTCGGACAAAGCATCAAAGAAGAAGAAGAGAAGAATGTACAATGAAAAGAATTACTTTGAAAATTTTGAGAAGTTCAGATTACCAATGACACTGCGTGAGTATTAAACCTTAAGACAGCTTCAAAAATTAAGTTTCTAACAGATTCTCACCATTTTCACATATTGTGTGCAAAGTTGTCTGTTCTACAATATCCTCATTTTGATTTTTTCTAAATGCCAAACTTTTGGAGCATATTTCAAGCTCTTCATTTGGAGCATACAGTATTTCAAATACCACACTGACAAATTTTGTTACAGTAAACTATACTGCCAAACTATATTCCACAATGACACACATGAAGATCATATGCTACTCTGGGATCATAATACAGTGTTATCTCAGCTTACAAATTTAATCCGTTCCCAGAGACGGTTCGTAAGCCGAAAATTCGTAAACTGAAGCGAATTTTCCCATAAGAAATACTGTAATGGAAATTGAATTAATCCGTTCCAGACTCCCCTAAAAATTAACTTCAAAGTAAATTTTATACCAAATTCACCAAAATCTTCTGTACTAAAGTATGTACAAGTTATTACTTACCTTTACTGATGACTCTTGTTGGCGTATGGAAGATGGTGAGGGAAGGGGGGCGGAAGGAGGAGAGGTGTTAGTGTTTGGAAGGTAGTATATAACAAAACATATATAGACGATGGGAATAAGTTTACCGAAACCACACAATACATATACAGTATAGACGATTGAGGCTCTAGAAGCCGAACGAGTGGATAGAACTCCCCAAACAAAAACGAGCAAAGTAGTGTGACATCATTCGTCGTCGCGCCGCTGTCTGCGCAGCCCCCCCCTCCCAGGGAGGGGGAGCCCCAGACCTACCGCGCCGGCAATCCACACCCCAGTTCTTCGGCTGATGCTAGTACTGTCTCCACTCGATCATCTGGACTATATGGGAAGGACCCCCAGCCGGATTAGCACGTTTTTCGGATAATGGTACTTTTTCACCTACGAGTCTAAAACTAACCATTTCCAACTATTTTTATACTACAAATAACATAATTTGAATTGACATGCCACATATAATTATTAAATATTCAACTAGAAACCTCAACTTACCTTTTTGTTGTTCGTCTTCTTGATTGATGACACATCTTGAAGTTAAAAATTCTTGACAATTTACGTAACTTATAGTAACACAACACTAAAATTAACACTTAAAATTACTGTACAGTTCATTAGGCAAAGTTAGTTCTCACTGTCTGCTGAGGATGCCTCACTGGTTGAAGGCACTTGGGTTGCGTGTGCCGCCTCACTTGTTGAGGGCGCTTGGGTTGCGCGTACCGCCTCACTTGTTGAAGGCGCTTGGGTTGTGCGTGCCACCTCACTTGTTGAAGGCTCTTGGTTTGATTTTCGTACCATATAAGAATCAAATGTTGCTTGCCTTCTGTGTTCACTGGCCAGTTGTATGATCAGCTCTTTTGTTCGCCTAAGGTACGGATACATGTTTCCAACCTCTGGATGAGCACAATTAGATGAAAAATTTATTAATCCGTCAACATATGTCATGAGTACACTGTATTTCGTGGTCATTGGTGTTGGTTCTTCACTGCCTTCTTCATCCTCTTCGTCCACCTCACCAGTAACAGACTGTAGAATCTCGTCTTCACTCATCACACCATATCCTGGATCATTGGCATCTTGTTCAAGCCAGTCAACCACATCCTGTCTTTCTAAGTTTTTGCCGGCATTTCTAAACATTCCATGGATTTCATCTGTAAATCCTTCAAAATCCATTTCTTCTTCCTCCTCATTTCTGACCGTAGGCGTGAGGAGTTTTTTCCAGGAATTTTTCAAAGTCGATTCCTTTAATTCACTCCACACCTTGGCCCAGTTATAGATGGCTTCCTTGATTGTATAGTTCTTCAAATTCTGAAGGTTTTTTTTAGCCCTGTTATCCACACCGAGTTCAATATCTTCCGGAAGAGGCAAAACCACCAAAACTTCGTTTAGCATTTTTTTGGTGTACAACCTCTTCGTAGCACAGATAACTCCCTGATCCATAGGCTGAATGAGAGAGGTTGTGTTAGGAGGAAGTGCCATACACGTTATCTTGCCATCATGTGAGGTTAACGTGTCAATTCTGGGGTGGGCAGGCGCATTATCAAGCAACAGTAAAGCCCGAACTTCGCTTGGCCTTATTTTGAGTTTCTTAATTTGATAGGCACGAACTTCCCTGCAGAACACGTCATGAAACCAAGAAAGAGAGATCTCCTGTGTAAATCATGCATTTTTGAATTATAATATTTCACTGGCAGTCTGTCCATACAATGTTGCAAGGCTCTTGGTTTCTTAGATTTGCCAACAATTGCACACATGATTCTGTCTGTGCCGTCGGCATTCGCACACATCATGGCTGAGAGCCTGTCCTTGCAAACCTTACATCCTGGCACACAACCCTCACTCCTCATTGCTAGAGTTTTTTCTGGTAAACTCCTCCAATACAACCCAGTTTCATCTGCATTATAAATTTGATACGAATATATATTATTTGCCACAATATATTCTCGTAATTTACGTTTAAATGGTTCTACACTGCTTTCATCTGCACTCAGTTTTTCACCGACAATTTTCCTCTTCACAATATTGTGCCTACCCTTGAACCTTGCAACCCACCCTTCACTCGCTTCGAAATTCTTTATTCCAAGGCTTTCAGCAAATCTGCTTGCAGCATTTTGTATTTCTGGGCCGTGAATTGTCACGCCAGCTGTGCGGTGCTGAGCAAACCACTTGTACACAGCCTCATCCAACTGCACATGCGTCGAAGTTTTCATAGTTTTTCTACCACAACCTCTGCTAGTGCTTGCACCTTCACTTTCACAGGTTGAAATGAATTGCATAAGTTTCTCTTTTTGTTTCCTTATATCAGAAACAGTACTAGTGCCTATATTAAATTCCTTACAACACTTGAGGTCGACCGGCCATGTTCACAAAGTTGTATAACACGTAGCTTGTCCTTAAGTGTTAGGACAACCTTCTTCCTCTTAACACCTCCAGAACGATTCATGCTGCTACCAGACATAGTCTTGGCCAAAAATGTTCAAAGTTACTATGAAAATAAAAAAAGTTATTTAAAAAAATATTTCACTAATGGCGCGGCACTGTGATGTAACACGAGGTTAGAGAGCACATGGCTTGACCAGGCATGGATGGGTCCAGTCGGGGCAGGGAGGAGGCACGTTACGTAGGCCGCCAGGAGGAAAAAAATAATATATTTTTGAAGGAAACTTCAGCCTGTGCAAATTGTTTTTAGGAAACTTGTATGGAATTTTTTATTACATAATTACTAGTATTTCTTTTGATTTTGGCTATGATGAATTGTTCTAAAATTGATAGTAATTACTGTACTGTAGTGTATAGGCCACTCCCCATCCCCCCCCCCTAATCCCCCCAGGTGGTCCCTCCCAATGCTCCCCTCTCTCCCGACACCACCCACCCACCCCACCCCCACCTACACTATGCGCCTCGAGTCTCGAGCAGACAGGATTAATACCGTATGGCCCGCCTCATGTTTTCATATACGGATAAAGGCACGATTATCTGGGCGACTGACCGGATAGTGTAATTTCTGCAGAAAATTAACCGGGCCCCACCATTTTATCCGACTAAACCTGCTTTAATTCGGTCCCTGTGGCTATTTTGGCCGGATATTGTGATAACTTTATCCGATCGCGATTTTGGCCATATAAGGGCGTTTTCCGGATGTTTGAATCCCGGATAATCGCGGGGTTACAGAAATTACCTAAGTGTACTTACAGGATGAGAGCTACGCTTCTGGTGTCCCGTCTTCCCAGCACTCTTTGTCATATAACGCTTTGAAACTACTGACAGTCTTGGCCTCCACCACCTTCTCACCTAACTTGTTCCAACCGCCTACCACTCTGTTTGCGAAAGTGAATTTTCTTATATTTCTTCGGCATCTGTGTTTAGCTAGTTTAAATCTATGACCTCTTGTTCTTAAAGTTCCAGGTCTCAGGAAATCATCCCTATCGATTTTATCAATTCCTGTTACTATTTTGTATGTAGTGATCATATCACCTCTTTTTCTTCTGTCTTCTAGTTTTGGCATATTTAATGTCTTTAACCTCTCCTCGTAGCTCTTGCCCTTCAGTTCTGGGAGCCACTTAGTAGCATGTCTTTGCACCTTTTCCAGTTTGTTGATGTGCTTCTTAAGATATGGGCACCACACAACCGCTGCATATTCTAGCTTTGGCCTAACAAAAGTTGTGAACAATTTCTTTAGTATATCACCATCCATGTATTTAAAAGCAATTCTGAAGTTAGAAAGCGTGGCATAGGCTCCTCGCACAATATTCTTTATGTGGTCCTCAGCTGATAGTTTTCTATCTAGAACCACCCCTAGATATCTTTCTTTATCAGAATTCTTTAAAGATTTCTCACATAATATATAGGTTGTGTGAGGTCTATGTTCTCCTATTCCGCATTCCATAACATTTTTTTTTTTTTTTGAGATATATACAAGAGTTGTTACATTCTTGTACAGCCACTAGTACGCGTAGCGTTTCGGGCAGGTCCCTGGAATACGATCCCCTGCCGCGAAGAATCGTTTTTTCATCCAAGTACACATTTTACTGTTGCGTTAAACAGAGGCTACAGTTAAGGAATTGCACCCAGTAAATCCTCCCCGGCCAGGATACGAACCCATGACATAGCGCTCGCGGAACGCCAGGCGAGTGTCTTACCACTACACCACGGAGACTGATGTGCATTTATTAACATTAAATTCCATTTGCCAAGTGGTGCTCCATATACTTATTTTGTCCAGGTTATCTTGAAGGGCATGACAATCATCTAAATTTCTTCTCCTTCCTATTATCTTAGCATCATCAGCAAACATGTTTATATAATTCTGTATACCAACTGGTAGATCATTTATGTAGACAATAAACATCACTAGTGCAAGAACTGAACCCTGTGGTACTCCACTTGTGACATTTCTCCAGTCCGATACATTGCCTCTGATCACTGCCCTCATTTTTCTGTCAATCAGAAAATTTTTCATCCGTGTTAGAAGCTTACCTGTCA